TTTGAGGTAAAAAAAATAATTTTATTAAAAATATTTTAATAAATTTATAATTTATAAGTTGAACTATGTAGTTCAATTAGTAAAACATTTTTTCATTTGTATAATCTAACAATTAATAATTATTATTATTGATCATTTAAGAGAATATAAAAAATTAAAATATTTAAATATTAAAAATATCAAAATATTTAACCAAAATTAAATAATAAATAAAACATAATATAAATCCTAAATAATTTATAATTAAAATTAAACATATTTACATTTTTAATAGTAAAGACGCCTTAATTTTACTTAATTTTACTTTTATGGTAATTTAAACACACTGTTTCTATATGCTGACATCATAATTGTGGGTCCAATCCCCGCCGCCGTACGTCACTTTGACTCACTTGCGTGATCTCGCGTCTGTCAACCTCCTCCCCTCATCTGTCCCTTTATACCTGTGCTGTGGTCCAAACCTCCGGCTCTGGCCACTGGTTTAGTAAATTATTAGGAAGGTTCAATCAAATCCTCCATCCACGACCACAATAATCCAAATTCCAAACATTATTCCTTTTCCTTTTTATTTACCCAAAAACGCATTATTCCTTCTAATAACCCTTTTTCTTCCCTTCTTTAATTTAGTTATTAAAAACAGTTAGTTATTATAGTTGTTAATTGATATTTATAATTATTAGTTATTATTTAACAGTAATAATTATTGGCTATTAAAACCTAAGAAGTTATAGTTTAATTGATAATAAATTTTTTTATTTTATTAATTAAGATTCAATTCTTTAAAATTAATAAAAAAATAACTTATTATAAATTTTTTAATCCAAATGTTGATGGCCTACCTTTAATTAAATTAAAGAAAAATTAATGTCAAGATACGCCTAAATTAATTTAAAGATATCATAATCATTAAACAAACAAAATTATTTGTTGTTAGTTATTAATTATTAGTTAATAGAAAACTAATATTTTTTATTTAATAGTTTGAAATTAATTGATATATTGATATTTTTAAGTATTTTAACTAACTAATTAAAGAAAAAAGATTATAAATTGATAAAATGTCAAACAAAATGCACCCTTAACTTTTTTGTTTTGGTTTTTTTTTTTTTAGCAAATCTTATCTTGATTTGATAAAAAAAAAAGGAGATAGTTACGGCCACATGGATACTATTTTTTTTTAATTAACTAATTATGATATTTAAAAATATTATTTTATAGATTTATTTTAATCTCTTAAATAATAAATATTGACAATTTTGTTATATATTAATTAATTATTACAATTATTAGTTAATTCTAATAGCCAAATTAAATTAAGTCAATATTTTGACAAACAATGTACAAAATTTTGTATCGCCCTAACACTTTTACGTTTGTCGATAACGATTGCAGGATTAGGTATTTTGAACTTCAAAAAAGTGATGTACAGTATGATATGCCTCAAATATACATTTTATTATTATTGATAAAAGATATATTTTTAATATAATATAATTTATTTTTTATCAATAATTATAAAATATACTATCTTTACAAAACATATGTAAAAAATTTTAACTCCTTTGAACTTTGTAATACCAACAAAGTCAGCCACTCGCTATTATTGTAAGACAGCTAAAGATCCAGTATTCTTACACTAACTTTAATTTTAATATAGTAATTTAAAATTAACAATTAATAATTATATTTAAATTAATATTTTTTTTGAACAATATGAAACTTTTTTCGGAGAGAAGGAGAACTTGAAATTTGATTTCAAATTTCATTAATTTTACGAACGTCCAGCAAGAAGTGGTCAATAGGGGACAAAGTGCGAGACATTTAATTTAATAATTAAAAATTATTAAAATTAATAATTAATATTCTTAT